TGTCCATATTCGATCGGTTGCGTGGGAGAGTTCTGTTAGCGTTTATCCTTTTTTTATTATAGTTCTATCACACACGTACTCTACATCCTAATTAAATGGCATCTTCGTCGAATGAAGACAACCAAAAGACCACTGAAGGACTTGAGGTAAATTTATTATTATTATTATTACCATGATATCAAAATTCATGAATAAATATATTTGATTTAATTCATTCAAATCAACTCACATTTTTCGTGTAAAACATTTGTGTTAACACCCTCAATTATTACTTTATAAAAAATAAAAAAATAATTGAAGATTTATGATACTTAATGTTAGTCATAACAAATAAAATATTTTTATTATAATTTTGATATTAGAAGAATATTAAAATATAACGTGTATCAAGGGGAGAAGAGGAACACAGGGGGGGGGGGGGGGGGAGAGAGAGAGAGAGAGAGAGAGTGAGAGAGATAATAGTTATTTCTCTAAATTAGTACTGAAACATAGAGACCGACTACGTTCCTATACTATGATACACACCTCAAATTAATTTCATAATAAAGTTTTTTAGGCAAAATAACTTACAATATTATTTTTCGTCATATATAAGATTAGATACGATAAAATAAATTAATCCAATTATTATTAAAGATAATTTTTTTTATATATATAATATATAGGTATGTTATATTAAAGTAATCTATGTTTACTAAATTGACGCGTTACAGATAATGCTTTGGAAACAAATTTAAAATTTTAGAGGGGGGAAAGTGCCCCGCCTTCTCTCTCTAGGGATTCCTATGACTTAATTAAATTGTAATCATATATTTTTGTATGTATAAAACATATATATACATTTAAAAACAAATAATTGAACCATTCGTAAAAGGTAAAACTAAAATTAATTAAAATTATACATATGTATTTAATTATATGTACATAATACAAATTACAAATTAATATAAAATATTTATTCATACTATGAAAAGTGTAACTTCCTAAAAAAACATATAGTTAAACTTGTAATATGTAAGTATGTACCTATTATGTAGCGTTTCCGATTTCACGTGTACATGCTTTTACATATTCACGTATTTACGTATTTTAGCATTAATATTATCTTTAAATTCATAATATTGTTAAACCAATAAGTTAACATTTTATGTTATTAACGATGTTATTTTTGAAGTTACCACGGTATATTCGCACTGTATTACTACATAATACTTAAACGAATATTCGTCAATACATGAATATATAAAATACGTGTACATGTATATTAAATTCACGTTTGTTAAGTATACGTGAATAGAAATTTTTCTTCCTCGTATGTAATATTCAACGTTTTCAATCGAGACCTCTAGTATATATGAATATAATAAAATACATTTTTTTAGATAAAATAGTGAAAAATATTGATAAGAGTTCATATTTCAAACCAAATAATTGTATGAGTAGATAAATTTTTATACACTTATAGGTTATCACGGAAATTTTCCTTTTAAAGTATTCTGTAAATTGATTTTGTATAATATGTACAGTGGCGTAGTTACGGGGAGGGTGTAAGGGGTTTCCACCCTCCCCACACAAATTTTTTTTATTGATATTTGATTATTATTTATTAATATTTACATATTATAGTAAAATATTTTGATTTTACTATGATTAGGTATATATTAAAAATTGAATAACAAAATAATTTTCATTAAATACGGGACATAATAATAATACCATTTTAAATGTAATATTATTACATATGACCTCGTTTTAAGATATACTAAGAACACTTAAAAACTTACTTTTAAACAACCCCCCCCCCCAGAAAAAAATTGTATCTACGCCACTGAATATGTAGCTTCATAGCTTTTCCAACGAACAACTCAATCAATATTTGCAACGAAAGTCACTCCTTCAAGATAATTTCGTTATGTTCCTCTTGTCATTTCTTCTATATGAATATATTTATTATCAAGAGCTCCATTTGGACAGCATACCTAATACGAAATAGAACTTTGCATTAAATAATTGTGCAAATGTAAATAAATCTTGGTAATGATTTCGGCTATAGATTACTCAAGTAGCATTAGATTAAGAAATACTCGAAAAACAAAAGCTAATATTCCGAATATGTTTTCTAGAAAACCAAATTATCCATTATACCATTTATAAAATACCTATATTACAGTAGCGTATACATAACTTTTGTATGGGGGGGGGGGAGGGATCAGTTGCAAAATCATTATTATGGAAGGAAAATTCCTAAACCTAAGTACCTGTGTATTTAAATAATAAATAATAAAACATATATATATTGAATGTGTCAAATTAATAATTTACAATAAATCCTTGCAATATTATTTTGTTTCCTTATAATTTCCTTACATTAAGAACACTATTTTATACAATCTTAAAAGGGCCTATGGGGGGATTTGACACCCACATCTCTGCGCCTGCTATATTATATCATTAATTGTTAATGAAACAAATAACTATTATATGAATATGTTTAGAGTGATATCATGTTATCAGTAGAAAATAATATACTTTTATGTGTTTAAAATGTTGAATTACAAATAAACAAACTTTTGACTATGAAACAATTAGAAATAAGAATCTCATTAATTATTGCTTTTAAATTATTCTATTTATGTTTTTTAATTTTTCATCAAAAACGCATAACTAAATCAGGTCGATAGGATTCTTCGTTTAGGAATACGAGAATGTCTGGTTGAAAAACGCAAATCTAATTTATATATTTCTCGAGTTGAACGAGTATTGTTTTTTGATGTCGAGTTGAGTCGAATTTCAAATTATTTCAAGTAGAGTTCGAAATTCGAGTGCTCGGGAAAGAAGTTAAGGGTAGCCGAAAAATGTAGTAAATGTAGGGTTTGAGAAAAACGTCGTGGTTACCAATCTGTATAAATTGACGTTATCACGGTGCTAAAAAACATTAAAGCAATAACGATCTATATAGTTATCATCTGAAACCATCAACCTTTCTGGTAATTTCTATCGAGTGTAATGTGAGGTGTGATCCCACGGCGCACTTCCCGGGCTTTTATTACGAACCGCTTTTCCCTTCGGCACGTGTCACAGACACCGAAAATCATCGGAAAGGACGTGCCGCGCCGCGCAACTCCAATCCCACGGCGCGTATATATATTTATAATATATACTCGTATATACTTTTATAAAGTAACATGTATAAACCTAGGCCTAACCTAAGCACTTGATTGAAGTCGAGTGAAGTCATACACTAGATTTAATTCGAATAAAATAGAGTGCATCATTTTTTTTTTTTTTTTTGGTTGATTCGAGACGAATACTCGAACTCAATTCGAAAACTTTTACTAAATCGTGTACTCGCCGACCCTCTCCTTTTTATTATATAATTATAATTGTATTTATTTAAAATTAGTACGCTCATGATTTTTCATTAAATTAGCATTTTAATTTTTAATCAAAATCGAAAAAACCATAACAGATACCTAATATCTAGGTTTATAATTTAATAGGAGATGGACATCACAAATAAAGATAACGAAGAACCAATAAATTCAAGTCAACAACAATCATTAACAGTTCAAAATTCTATACCACAGGTTAGAAACTATCACGAAGAAATAGGAGAAAATATAATTGGAATGGTGCGTAATATCTACGAAAATAATACAACTCGAGATGAGTACAGTGTATTTGGTGAAGACATTGCAAATAGTATTAGAAAATTAAATTCTGAATACGCCAGATTAACAGTAAAGTATGAAATCCAAAGATTATTATATAATGCATCACTTGGATATATTGACCATCCCTTTACTAATAGGGATATTCTCCCACCAAGTTATTCGGATAACAACTTTGACACTACGGGAAGTGACTGCTCTTGTTCTTTGACATCATCATCAAACACCACGGATTTAGCAGTATCAAGTACAGAAGATGTTACTATGAATAAGGTACCTGATACATCAAACAAACATTAATTTAATATATAATTTACAAACAAATTTATACTTTATATCAAAGACGTTTGTCATTATTAATTTTTCATCAATAAGCTTTTTAAGCTTTTATTTTAATCAATTTAGTTCTAAAATCAGTACTTGACTTGTGGGAGGAGGAGATGCAAGAGGACGGAGTATTCAACTAATTTTCAGAAATATTAGCGTCCTCCTACTATTATTACGTTATAACTATAACGCTTAACAAGTTTTGGGGATGCTTTTTTTTTTAAGTAAACAAAGTCCCTCTTCTTAAATTTTGACAAGTCAAGCACTGTCTAAAATAATTGGAAATTTAAACAATATTAGTGGTTCATATAAAATTATGTTTATACTTTAGTATTTAAGGTATACCTATCTATATTAAACTATACTATATAATTAAATATGATTATTAATTATTACTGCTTATTTAATATTAACTATATTTTTAAATAGCATCTGTTTTGATTTAAATAATAATATATTAAATGATTATTAATATTATAAAATAATTTGTTTATTTGCTTATCTTAACTTTATTTTTTGAAACAATGGCAATGCTGTAATACACCTATTTCGTATTATCTTTTTTCTTATTTAATTATTTTAATCCTATTATAGACAATACATTTTCGAAGTACACACTCGACATACGTAAAAAAATATGAAAACAATGCCTAATTTTATAATGTAAATCATCATCTTCTCTCATTTCGTTAATTTACTGTGTACTATTGACGAATTTTCTATTTCGTAAGCTCGGACGAACTCAACATTTTATATAACGTTAGCGTATAGCGAACAAGGCTTGGAAACAAACAATATCTTGTTCTGTTGACATCTTGTCACTAACTAAAATATGAATATATACGAAAAATATTTATGGGTAAATGCCGTGGATCGTGTAGACACAAAAATACCGCTCGGCAAATATTGTTTCGTCTGGACCCGCTTCAATATTATTTAACATCAGAAAGCATGAATTTCCTCAAACAGAAATTCTTCATTTGACGTACAAAATACATCATAATGGTAATAACTGAAGCAATATTGGAAGTAGCAAAGTTTGGCGCTTTTGGTAAGGTTATCAGTTCATATACACTCTCTAGTTTATATAAATGTTTAAGTGTTTTTTTTAAATATACCATAAATGAGTACAATTGTTTGATTTTAAAAAAATAAATTGTACATGCAATTTTTTCACAAGGTATGAATAATCAATTGCGAAACACGTGATTATAGTGAGGGAAAATATTGTTTAATTATGTACATGAACAACGAAATTCGCCCCACCATTATTTTTTTTAATCAAAATTAAGTCTCATTGAATGGAAAAATTATAATCTACCTACTTGTTTTAGATGGCTTCTGGACCTCTGGAATTGGAAACTTCAATTCGTTCTAGCACAAAAGAATCAGAGCCGTCTATAGAAGAAGACTATATACCTCCACAGTCTGATTTCCAAATGTCAAAAATGGTTAATGTTTCACCAATTGGATCGATTGGAAGTTATCCCCCGGGTTACTTTACTTATGCAAAAGCTGAAGATATTGTACGTAAATAGGTTGAAGAATTTCTTTAACACTAGTCAACATAGCTATTTTCCATGCAATGCTATTTATCACTCAAGAAACTTAATGTGTTTGACACTTATTACACATAATTTTTTTTTATTGATTTATAGTATTTAATAGGTACCAAATATTTTATTTATTGGTTTCAGAATATAGAATTTATAAAATATTAATCCATTTCATAAATGGTATACTACAGTAGCCAGAAGATTTACATAACATATTATGTTATTGCTATGTATTATAATAGTATATTGATCTTATCCTACATTAATTTATAAATAATTCGTTTAGGTTTATTCAGCCATATAATACTGAATATTGTTTTTAGAGTTAAAATTCCATACCAACAATGTTACAAGTTATAATCATATAAATATTAGATAGTTTATTTAATTCCAACACATTCCTATACTTAAGTTTAAGAACCAAAATTAATTTTTGTATATATTTATAGTATTTTCACACTAAGATGTGCCATAAAATATTTTAGTTGGATGTTCTTGAACTGAAATGGGGTTTAATGAATGAAAAAAAATATCAAAATACATAATTTAAGATAAATTTCAAAGTTTTGACTAGAACGGTTGCATACAACTTCCTTTTTTTAAATTGCAACACCTTTTCTTCTTCTATATATTAGAATAAAGTACTTTTTTTTTTTTTTTTTTAAACAATTTTTGAATACTCAAATAGATTTATTGTAATTATAAAATTGGCAGAGTTGTTGTATGTTGAAGTTTAATATTAATGAATATGGTTTTGACAACATTTTTATTATTTTCAACTTAATACTTGAAAATTAAAATAATATCTCCAATATTTAATTGTTAAATTAACCTGTTAGTATTGTTTGTAGATATATAATATATATAAAAAATTATTATTTTTATCGTAATTTAACTATATTTAACTTATCATAATAACTAAATAATTTAAAAAGCAATGAAAATTAAAAAAATGTACACACCATAAATTTAAAATTAAGATTAATTTATTTACAATTAATGTTCTATCTTATACACTGTTTGAAATTTTCTCCTTGGTGTTCTAAACATAATTACAAAAATATTTTGATGTGGCATCATTTATTTGGTTTTCTTTTAAAATATTACATGCCTGTTGTGTTTTGTTTTTTAAGTATAAGACATTGATACATTAATACCCTCGTAGGTAGGTTCACTATACAATAGTTTTATAAAAATCTCCATAAATGGGGTTAAGTCTGGAGATCTTATTTGATTAATTTTAGTTAGATTAATTGAACTTTATAAATTGTATGAATAATGAATAATGTTTTTAATATCTTGCTTTTATTGAGTATATTGTAGTATTATAATTTAAATAAACTTTATTTCCATGAAATTCATAATAATATAAGATATACCTACTATTTTATTAAATTGTAACCTATTTGTTTTAGATGTATCATTCAAATCAATGTTACAAGTTAGAATTAGAAATACTTTATTGCATCAAAGTAGAGTCATTAAAAAATGTGGCAAAAATTTTACTGAAAAAAGCAAAAACTTCACTAATGGAAACCCCCAGGAGTAATTTAGAAAATTCAATTGCACTCTACAATAAAATTAATATGAATCATACTAATGTTCAAATGACTGGTTTGTGGTTAAAACTAGTTGCTATACCTCAATAAATTTAATATATATTTCAGCACTTTTTTATTATTTATGTAACTGATAACTGATAACTGTAATTGTGTTTATAGTCAGTAAATAAATATTATTTTCAATTAAATTTTTAACTCTTATGAAACTTTCTATTAAACTAATAATTTTTTTTTATAAATGGATATGTATAAATATTGTATTCAATATCAGTTGTATTATCTTGGTCTTAAAATAAAGATATCGTATTATAACCTTTTTCGTAAATAATAATTATATATTATACATTCATAAAATAATAATAAAAATATACCAATTATACATAATATTTCAAATATAGTTTTTAAAGTTTATGTTATCTTATTATTCTAGAGTTAAAAACATTATATTATTATCACATTGTCATCATCTTTTTAGCTCGTCTAAATGGTATTATATGTGGTTCTGAAAAAAAAAAAAAAATTGAAATACATTATTTTTAGTAGGTATCAAATACAAATACAATAAAACCTTGATAAGATGGAACTTTGGTAAGACGGAAACCCTGGTATTATGAAACATCCTGCACTGAAAACTTGTTCAAAACTGTGATGGTATATTTAAAAAACAGCTACTTAATCCCTAGCGCAGGGGCGGATCTTTGGGAGGGTGACGTGGCGATTGCCCCTTCCCCTTGGACTTTTTTTAATTTTTTTTTTTTACAGATTTATTTAATATTTTTTATATATTATTGTTAACATAGAAGAAATCAATAATAGGTTAGCAGATGAAAAATAAAGAAATGTTAAATTATTATTGTAATTTGAATAGTGAATTTTTATAGGTACTTAAATAAAAATACCTAGTTAATTATTTGTATTAAGTGTAGAACTTATTTTTCAATAAATTGGTTAAATAACGGTCAAGTATTCATAGTAATCTATATACCACTCATAAATATTTCTATTCACCCCCCCCCCCTTAAACTAGACTTTAAATCCGTCTGTGTCCTGATATTCCAGATTCAGAGGTATATAATGAAACTTAAATGGTGTAAAATCTATTCTATTTACAAATTTTATTTAGGTTTATTTAATCATATAATCTAGAATATGTTATATAAATAATTTAAATCCCATACTTAGAAATTATAATTACTCAGTATTCAATATTTATTTATTTTACTACGATAACCTCTTTACCTATACTTACAATAACTTTAGATACATATTTATACATACGTCGTATTTTACTTACCTGGATCATATCTCATGTAATGCATCCAGCCAGAAGACATTTGAATTCCAAGATTTCGCCATTCAGTTTCTGTCATTAAATGAGTTTTTGGTACCAGTTTGGCCATGTCATCTGGTAATATTACATGTCTATCATAAATTAAAAACAAACAATTATTAATCAATACTAGGAAATTATGGTCCGAAACAGGCATTGATTATCAAGTGTTACTCAAGATAAAGAATGCTAAGACTAGACAGATTAACAAATTAAATTTACTTGATAAATTGATATAAAAAAAACTATGAACAAAATAAATAAGTTAAAATTAAAAGTTACCTAAATTGTTTTTTAATCTCGATATTTATTATTCAGCAATATCATATGTCCTTTTCACATGATAGCTGTTATATGTTAAAAGGTTTAGATATTAAATATATCGAGAAGTTCTCATGCTGCGACAATAAATAGTATAATTTTGGATATTCTAATTATTATTTACTTATTTCTATTCCTTTATATTTATTTTTTGTTTGAGATAATTCTTACGCTGTTAACACTTAATTATAATAGTATATGATCCAATGCAACAGATGAATAAAATAAACATACATTTATAGTCATTAATATCTGTTCTACATCAATGTAATTAACTAATGCACCATGATACAACAGAATGGTCGCCATATGAAAGAAAAAAAAAACTATAGAATAAATAAATCATGATACTATGCAAGATTATCTTGATTCAACTCCTACGTTACACTTGTTCAGTGATGTAAAGCATTAAAATCGAACGACATGAACAGTATTGATTCTTCGCACTACTTAATGGACGTAAGACACGGACTTCGTTCGAACTCGTGACATGCGACACTGGGCAGCATCAACCGTCTCACCTGTAAATGTATGCGCCGTCTTCGTACTTCGACGAATATTGAATGTCTTCCCTCGGCATGTTCGGTCCTCGACAAATGAAGTAAGCTCAAGGCATTTGGGATGCGAAAATGTGATACTAACAAGTACCTCTACGCCGACCGACGTTCTTCTAATCAACCATTGTCCATTAGATAATGATACGAACAATGCTCTGTTGTTAACCTTATTGTATAGTAAAGTTAACTAACTATTAAATATTGTAATCTGTGATATTACTATCGTTGAACATACGTCTAAGGACCGTACACAACGGTCGAACGTACATATTTTGGCGGCAAAACGGTATATCCGGAACAGCCGGTGTACTGATAGCGTGGAAACACGTGTATTGGTTATCGCTCCAGCGGTGGCGGCGTGAAATGTTGATAATGTTATCGGCGTTTCGAAAAGTAAATCTATACACGTTCGAGTTCGACGGGAAACGTGTCGAATGTCAAGTTCAAACGGTCGGACGTAATAATTTTATGCTGATTAGCAATAGACAAGCAAGTTATAGTTTGTTCGAAAAACAGAATACCCCAGTGATTCGGTTTGTTTATTTCACAGTCTCCATTAATATACTTATTTTTGTAATGTTACGGTTTTTTTGTTCCGTGCCGTGCAATTCGTCACTATTACGTGCGTTCGTTACCAGGTGAGTGCAAAGTTGATTACTTATTGAAAGAAGAATTATATCTTGTTACAGCTGTAGACAGAAGCAGACTCTGATTTCCATTGCGGTTTTCAGATAACTGTGTCCCTCAAGACAGCGATTCCCAATGTGTGTTCCGCGGAACCTGAGGGTTCCGCAAGATGTGTATGAATATTGAGAATGGTGATTGTTGTAAATAATAATCATGAAATATCTGTAAAACATTGTTTTGGAGTATAGGTTTTACAATAAATAAATGAAAAAATTGGGGTCAAGTTGGAGTTAGAGACGTTGGGGTTCCACGAAACAAAAAATATTTCCTAAGGGTTCCGTGGTTGTAAAAGTTTGGGAACTGCTGCCTTAAGAGATGGCTCTATTGTTTTATTATTTTCTCGTATAGTTCTAAATTAACAAATAGAATCATGTTATGATATTGAATACTGTCCTGTTGCATTATTTTGATGTATGTTGGACCAAAATTATTGGTGTACAATTATTGTTTTTAATATTCACTGATAAAATTGAAAATATTGTGTTTGATCTGGCATATTTTTGGGAAATTAACCTGTGCTCTGAAAAATGTATAATCATGCCTTAACTTGTTCCGTTAATGTATCTATAGTAACTTAAAAAATTGCCATATTATATCTGATTATATCAATATATTGTTGTAGACAACCAACTAGGATCTACTCATCCTTTATCAAACATACATCCTACAGAAAACCTATTCAAATACCATCGATTAATATACAAAAACTAAATCCAATATGGATGCTAGCTGGATCTACAGGTTATATTGGATATAGATATTTATTTAATGGAAGTAATATAGTCCAATGTGCGCACAAGGAACTTGAAAAATCATCGGAAAATAATTATTTTGATTGGAATAAATTGTTATCTTATTTGTCACCAGATTTATTAAATTTACTAGCAGCTATTACCGTGAGTAAATAATTATTTTGATTCATAATAGTAACATATTATTTTGTCTGATGAATGATAATGTAAAAAGATGTTAATTGATTTTGTAATTAGTATTGATAAAAGTCCAAAACATTTAAATAGATGTTTTATGTTAAAAATAATTGTTATTTTCAAAAATAGTTCCATATTTTATCATTCCTATTATAATACGTATGCATATATTTATGTATACAGAACAAATGTAATGAACAAAAGTATTTTCGTGTTTATTATCTTACTTGATTATCATTTGTATTAATTACTTTTATTTTCAGGCTGCATTTGTTGTTGCTTTGTGCAATTTAAGCATTCCTATCAATTTACAACATGTCATAAATACTATACTTCAATTTGCTCGAGATGGGGTGCAATATGATTTTGAAAAACTTACCAAACCATTATCTAAACTGTTGGTGCTCTATTTGACACAGGTAATATTTTAATAATGTGTTTAAATTTAAAATATTTCTCCTACAGTAATTTGCTTAGGGTATATCTACATTTATATGTATAAGTATGCTTTCAAAAGTTGGTGAAAATGTAGCAATACGTATGAGGTATAATCTTTTTTCATCTATACTACAACAAGATTTAGAGTTTTTTGATAAAACTCGTACCGGAGATATTTTACAAAGGTAAATCACAATAATTCAAATAATTACTTAAAAAACTACTAACTTTATATTATTTCATATTATTAAATATTTTACATACACAGTAAATAAATACATTATATGATACTTTAAATATAATATTCATTATAATATTAATTATTTATAATTATTTTTTTTAGATTAACAACAGATGTACAAGAATTTAAAAGTTCTTTCAAACTTGTTATAGTACAAGGACTTAAAAATGCTACACAAGTACGTAGGTTAGAAATTTGTCTTATTCTTAAAAACTTTTTACGGTTTTTGTTATGTTAACCTTATGATTTGTTGATATCAATTAATATTGTAATTTAGTTGATTGGCGGTGTTTATGCTCTTTACAATACTTCACCAGAAATGACTGCAGCTGTAGCCATTGTGTTACCAACAATAATTGTTATAGGCTCATTTTTCGGTTCTATTTTAAGAAAACTTAGCAAAGAAGCTCAAGAACAAGTAATTATTTAGAAATTATATTAATGGTATTAATAATAAATATATTATAATTTAATGGATTTATTTTCAGGGTACAAAAGCAACTATAATAGCAGAAGAAGTAGTTGGAAATATGAGAACTGTTCGTGCATTTGCATCAGAATCTGTAGAATGTGAACGATTTTATACAGAAATTGAAAGCAATGGACTACTGCATAAGAAATTAGGCTATGGCATTGGATTATTTCAAGTATGTATTTATCACTATAATATGCATAATTGTATTATACTGGTATTCACTGTTCATTGTTTGTACATTTTTAAAAATGTATTGAATTTGCTCTGTATACATTTACCTGTTGTTGGTTAATATATGGAATATTAATTTTTTTTCTTAAAATAAGTGTCTAACACAAGAAAGTTATTATACTACAATATATTAGTTTGTCACACTAGTTGATAATTTTGATACATTTGACTATCATTAAGTCAATGTTTTAAACTCATGTACTACTAATTTTTTTTTCAGGCTGGTAGTAATGTATTTCTTAATGGTATTGTTTTGGGGACAATATTTCTCGGTGGACAGTTAATGACAACCAGTAGTCTAGATCCTGGACAACTGATGTCTTTCCTCATGGTTACCCAAATGCTTCAACATTCATTAGGACAATTTTCATTGTTATTTGGTCATTATGTTAAAGGCATTGCTGCAGGATCGAGAATATTTGAAGTAAATTGTCAATTTAGTTTTTAATGAAATGTACATATTTTTCCACCATTTATATATTTATATATACATTTAACTTAAAAAAAAAAAAAAAAACAAAAAAAAATTGATTAATAGTTATATTAAATAATGGTTAAAATAGAATAAAATATTCTGATGATATCTTTTACTTATATTTTTATATTAAATGTTTATAAACTATTTTTTTTTTAACTAAATGTTTTATCAAACCTTAGTTAATTATATTTGTTTTCAGTACATAAACAAGAAACCTAAAACACTTCTCAATGGTGGAGTTATGATTCCATTCCATTCTTTTAAACCAGAAATTGAATTTAAAGATATCACATTTGCTTATCCCACCAGACCAGAACAAGTAAAAAAATGGAGACATATATTTTTAAATATTTAATATAAGCTAAATAGTTTTAATTGATTAACAGATTGTATTGAAAGATTTCAATTTAACTCTTCCTCCTGGTAAAGTTGTTGCAGTTGTCGGATCCTCTGGTAATGGTAAATCTACTATTGCTTCACTTCTTATGAGGTATGTGACGTTATAAAAAAAAAATTATATTTTATCTGAGATTATCATTTTTTTCATTGCAACTATTAAACAATTTTTAATTTTTTTTTAGATTTTATGATGTTAATTCAGGGAGTATAAGAATTGGTGGGGAAGATTTAAAGAATATTGATCAAACTTGGCTACGTAAGCGAATAATTGGTTTAATTAACCAGGAACCAGTACTATTTGCCATGTCAATTTTAGAAAACATACGCTATGGAAAGCCAGAAGCAACAGATAATGAGGTATAAAAATTATTTTTTGAAATTATAGATAAAAGTTTGAATATAAATTTAAGAAATATATAGGTAGTTGAAGCTGCAAAAATAGCTAATGCCGATTCTTTCATCACTGCTTTTCCTAATGGTTATAATACAGTAGTTGGTGAGCGAGGAGTAACAGTTTCAGGTGGACAAAAACAAAGAATTGCTATTGCAAGAGCTATTTTGAAAAACCCTGCTATACTTATATTAGATGAAGCAACGAGGTACAATGTAATAATCAGGGCTATAATTTGTATGCAAAAAAAAATTGTAAAATATGCATTTACATTTTTAAAAGGTAAAGACAAAAATAAAGGTACAAAAGAAAATATTTATTGAAATACATCAGTGGTTGGCTGTTTGTCTTAATATAATATAATTGAGATAAAATGTATAATTCACATTCATTATGTGTGTTACATTCTATGATCACATACTTTTTTAAATTTTCGAAAATGAATGATCGGCAATTGGATCGTAATATGGCTTTGTATTGACTGAAGCTTCGTTCAGTTTCACATGATGTAGTTAGCAGATATTTAAATAAAGAAATTCGACCTGGTGTTAGGTTACAATTGAAATTTTCCTCATCCGATTCGCCATTTAATATATTGATTGTAGAGTTTTAAATCTTTTATTTTTTTGTAAAACCAAGGATACTTTGTTCATAGCTTTATAACTTTTATTATAAAAATAAAATTTATGTTTGATAAAAAAACCAAATTTTATATTTTAATCAGCAGGGGTAGAATTAAATACTAAATATTAGTATAAATTACAAAATTTACCGTAAAACATTAATTTTTCGCATTCTTATAATCAAAATATACAATAATATTCATTTTATTCAATATATGCAATATTATGCATTTTATCCAAAATATACAAAAATATGCAAAATAAAAACATAACCATTTAACTCACCATGAGATGATTTGTGGAAATCACTGACAAAATCAATAATTAGAAGTCGCAAAAAAAACATGCTGTTGCATACAAATCCTAGCCCTGGTAATAACTAATATTAACTGTTAAATTACTGAACTATTTTTATTTGTTACAAAATATTAATGTTTGTATTTTCCTTATAGTGCACTAGATACAGAGTCTGAGATGCATGTTCAGTCAGCATTAGAATCTGTATCAAATGGAAAAACGGTTTTAGTAATTGCTCATAGATTGAGCACCATAAAAAATGCAGATGTTATTGTAGTTTTGGATAAAGGAGAAATTGTTGAAGTTAGTAGTTATGTATAATAATTATAAATGTTTGTAGAATGTAAATCTAACTATAATTATATATAATGATCTTCAAGATTTATTTATATAACTGCTTCAGAAAATATTAAATAAAAAGTTTATTATTAACAATTATAAATTATTTACTTAATTCAACACATTAATTTTTAATATATAACTTTGACGTCTCATAATCAATTCATTAGAGAAATGTCGAATCTTAAAAGACTAGGATATTTAACTATAAAATTCCTATTTAAATTATATTACTTGTATTTATACACACTACTAAAGCTTGAGTTTTAAAGTATATGCATCTTTTATACATAAGATAATCTAATTTTTCTAGATAATTTCGTTTAATAATAATTATTATAATAATTTCATTCTGATAAACCAATTTTTTTTTAATATGTAATATTTTTTTATTGTTTTTTTGTAATTATTCCAGATATGGTATTTTAAAATGTTTATTGTACTATAATCATAAAAAAAAAAAGTTTAATTAATAAAAAATGTAAAAATACATTTCTTAATTATGTATAACAGTAGATACATTTCTCCATCTATATCAAACACAGAGTACAGTCTACTATCATTATCATCTAATTTTTATTTTCATTTATTGGTTTGATTATTGAATGCAATAAATGTTCAGTTAATCGTAATGTTAACGTCGATAGTTATCTACCAACAGTCAGTCTATAATTTTGACTATTTCAACTTTCAAAAATTTGAGTTAAATTTTATTTATTAAAGATGTTCATTTAAAAAATAAGGGCTAAAACAATTACAAGACATTAATAACATTTGTGTGATGTTTCTTTAAATATTGATTATATAGGTTTTATTTGAACAAAAAAAGCTTGTAGAATGTATGTACCAATCACTTCAGTGAATGTAGAGTTTTTTTAATTTAATTTTACACCTAGTTAATAGTAAAGTATGTAAGTGGTAGTTACTTACCTAGTAAAGTTTATTTTTGTTCATATTTGTTTTTGCTTTTACCAAATAAGTGTATGGTTTTTTTTTTTTTTTTGTATGTTGTGCTTTACAACTCTAGCCTTACACACAACACAATTAGTATACTATTCACAGTGAACTTTTATAAACAGAAAACCCCTGTGAATACTACTCTAAATAATAATTTTTTTTTATCATTTTAATACTTTTGAATTTTAAAACATCTGTATACATTAATAATAGATTTCATGTATGAATGCTAAATTATAAGATTATAAATTTGAAAGAAAAAATAGAGCTATGATTTTTTTTCTTATGGATGATTATCAATAATGACCTTTAACTACAAAAATTAAAATAAATTAAAAATACTAAATAATATTGAATTACTTTATATATCCATTAAAATATATTAATAGCTAAGAAATAATTGTATAAATTATAAAACTAAAGATTGAAAAAAAATTCAATTTTGTGAGTTTCAACTGTAAAATTTTTCATAATCTTACCTTATTAATCACTTACATATTTATTTAAGATAAATTCCAAAATAACAACATAAGACCTAGTTTTATAATTTTTTATTTGGTGTTTTTAAAAATTATACTCGGTCATCAAAATTCTGTATAAATTCTGTGGAGGCTATGGTAGTGAAAATTATTTATAGTTGTAATTGGATATCCAATTTTTGAGTAAAAATTGTTTTAAATACAAATATATATATATATATATATATATATATATATATATATATTTAGGTATAAAATCACTGAAGAGTTTTTAAATTTAGAAATGTATAATTTTGTCATTTCTCAGTATTGTATGAATTTCATATGTAATTCGACTATCTACAATCTTGCATAGAGTCTATAGAAAATATTATTTATTTTCTGTCTGATAATATTTTAATATAATTTTCTTTATGCATTTTTATTTTTAGATTGGCGATCATAACAGTTTGTTGAAAAAGAAAGGATTATACTGGAATCTAATGAATCAACAAGCATCGGACAAAGCAAAAGCTGCATAAGTTGTGTATGTTACCTAAAATACACGATAAAAACTTAACTGAAAAAGAGACCCTCTGAGATTTTTTAGTTGAAATAACTATCAAAGTATAATGTTATGTACTGATAATTAATATGTAGATAAAAATTAAAATTAATTTTATATGTCTATGTTTATATTTATATGTTGTTAAAATTTGTTGTTGTTTAAAACTTTAAATTATTAAAATATAATTTTGTTTTAAATGACATTTAAAACATAGTTTTCTCTTACCATTTTATTAGTTAAACTAAAAATATATTTTAAACATAATTAAAAACAATATAGTAGGTGGTAAAATTGTAAAGGCATGGGCAAAAAATGGAAATTATTAAAAATTGTACAAAAAAAAAAAAAAATATGTACTATTTATAAAATGGTGGTTATAAGAAATTCAAAGAAATAAATTATATGTATATATGTATTTTAAAAATGACAATATTCCTTATGCTTTCATATTTTCTGTCAACTTATGTTTGTGAAAGCCATAACGAAATTAATTAAATAGAAGGAAAGAAACGTTTTGACCAATGAAACAATTAGTGCTTTTGTTTCACTAAGTTAACTAAAATGTAATAAATCTGTAATTTTATTCTTATTCTTAGAAAATATTATTTTCTTTGGACACATGAACAATTTTTAAATCCTCAATTGGAAAAATTTGGCACTTGAACCAAAAAAGGTTCGCCACCCCTGCAATATAGAGATATTAAGGTGGCTGTGAAAAGGTTAGGTTTTAATATAATTATTGAAGGGTTCAGTGCAACAACCATGTAAAAACTATAAAATAATATAATCAATTTAAAAATTATATATTTCGATAAAGAAAATATTTATTTTTAAATGTGATAGCAGTATAACTTTTTTGATTAAACATAGACTACTTGAAAAACAATTATGTTCAATAGTAAAAATAATAATAATTAACTAATAAATTCTACATTTTAATCAAGTAGATATTTTTAAATTTTCATATGATATACTTACCTACTTAAGAGCTGGTTCCTTGAAAAGCATCTTAAGCTACATTTACTGTACTATTACAAGATTAGAATGTTCTTTTGCATTCTGATGTACAAAGTATATAACTTTTTTTCATAATTGTAATATTTTAAAGTTTTGTATAATTTTTTGGAAAATTTTTCAACAAAATAAAAATAACAAAAATAACTTTTATTTTGATGCTACAATCAGAAATATCTGGTACTTTAAATTAGTTATATCATAGAAGTACATATATGTTATTCAATTTCTTATGTCTCCTGAAAAATTCCTAAATATAAAGGTACTTGTTTATTGTAGCAAACCCTTCAATTATAATAATAATGGAACAAATTATATCATTAAAAATACACAATTTATTGAAAATGAAAAAATGATACCTATGAATATTTATTCTGTTGGGCAAATGTTTATAATATATTTTTATAATCTAATAATTTATTTTTATTTAAAATTAAAATTTTTATTATCTGTGGTATCATGGATGTATCTTCAAGGTTTATTTTTACAATTGCAAGCAATTTTAAATCAATGATTTATTGCTCAAATGGTTGATAACTTTTATTTTGGTATAAATATAAAAAAAAAAAAAATCAATTCAATTTTTAGTTGTTAGTGTAGATAAGCTCCTAGAATTGCTGTATATACGAGTGTGTTACTGTAAGTTTTGGCAATTCAGGCAATGTAGGTAACTACTAGGTGTTGTCAGTATTGATGGTGCAGACTGGTTGTATAATCTCTAATACAAATCAATTTTCAAAAAAAAAAAAAAACTTTCTAGTTGTTGCACTAAATATTTCAATTCAGTTGTATTACACACTTTCATTCGAACGTTCTTGGTTAATGGTTTTTGTCCGTTGTGTGTATACGTGTCGTGTATTTGTAAATCATAAAATCGTATTTTTAATAATAATAGATTTAGCCAACATTCGTGAACAATTTAATAAAAATATTGATTCTTTATTGATTAAAAAAATGTATGGATAATAATTTTTTTTTTTAATATCAAGGAGTATTATGAACGGCTAGAAGAAGTAAAAAAATCTAAAATGAGAATGACAAAAACATCGAATAGCAAACTTGAAAACATTAATGTGGATACGAATACCAATTATTGTTGATAGAGCTAGAGCAATGGTTTACAATCGGGGAGAATTTAAAGGAGTTGGCTCGGGGGAATATAGTGATGATAAAATAACAAAAAAAAAAAAAAATTAATTTTGTTTTACATTTACAATGTTTAAAATTAAAATCTCTATATTTTCAATTTGATTCGCATGACTAAAAATCGCCTAAACTTTAATTTAATAGTGTTGAGGAGGGAGATTTTTTATAATTTACCAGGGGGCATAGAACGAAAAAGGTTGGGAATCATTGGGTTAGAGAATGTGTTGGCTGTTGTTACAGATGTTCAAAAAAATTTGTATAAATTATAATTATGTGAATATAACCTAACTAAATTATATATGAGATAATATATGTATATATATTAGCTGACCCAACAAACGTTGTTTTGTCATATAAATTATTTTTAGAGAATATTTTGCTAGAAAAAAATAACTAATTTAATATAGGTGTGTTAAGATGTGGTATAAAAGTGGAAAAGGTGTGGAATGCTGTGAACGGCGATGAAATATAAAAATGAAAAACATCAAACATTTATTTTTTTAATAATTTATTAAAATTGATCCATTAAAATTATATATATCAATAATTATGACTATTAGTAAAAAACAATATTGATCAATCCCTTAATGCAACAAAGTGTACAATATTTGTTGTAATCCCATCTAGTAGCAAAGCCAAGATTTTTCAATGGGGGGGGGGGGTTATGGTTTAGATCTATACAATAGGTAGGTATACATAAAACATATTATTTTAAATTTTTTTGTGCTTTATCTAAAGCATTTAAAGTCGAACAATATTTTAATTACATTAAAATTTACATCAACCGTAGTTTTCTTGTTTTGGTCGCTAATTTATTTAGTACTTACATCATAAAGGTTTATCATTATATCACTGTACATATTCATCATTGCCAAACCATTCAACCTATTTTCATTGTAGTGTTTCGTAAATATATTTTCAATCTTTTTAATGTTGAAAAAGATTGTTCACTGTTAGCAGTTGTAACTGGGAGAGTTGCTAAAATCTGTAAAAGTTTGAAAGTAGAAGGAAATATTGATATGTTACATTTTTGAAGAACGTCGATAGCATTTTTTGGTAAATCTTTAGTTCTTATAAATTTTTATTGCCAAATTTTACTTTTACTCATAGCTGCTAACACACTGCTATCTAAATCGCCTTGATACATTTCAACTAGCTGCTTAATTTTTTCTTCATATTGTGTACTATTGGATGATAGTGAAATAATATTAAAATTTTCAGTTATAGATCTTAAAGATAAAAATCGATCATTTAATTGATTTAAAAAATGATCTATAAATAGTACGAATAAAGATATTTTGTAATAATCTGCAGGTAAATCAACTTGGATAATGTATCTGTTTTTTTTTTTACTTATTAGTTGTACGAGCAATAGATATTTCAATGTTAAAGGCATCACATTTAGATTTTACATTATTAAATATCATTTTAAATTCACTTTTATCATTTAATCTTAGTTGTTTAATTATATTTACTACGTCATCAGCGGTTTGAATAGCTTCAACCAGATCTATATTCTTTGTCTGAAGAAACTTACTTAATGGTAAACTCAAACTCAATCCCAGTATATAAGTTGCTAGTGTAAATTCTGGTTTTCTTATAACACACACCAATTGGTATACTCCTGATGAAGCATCCTCATCAAGCCAAGTACAAACTTCTGATAAACTATTAACTATTGTATCAAGGAGGAAAATAATTATTGATTCACATCGGTCTACCCATCTTGTTGGTCATAACAGTTTTAAACGGTTATGGGTTGAAAAAGAACATACACGTCCTATTGATTCGGATAAAATATTATTTTTTTTGAGGTATTAAAAAAAATACAAATTTATGATGAGAGAAAAAACCGTTTACATACATAATAAATTGATCACATGGAATATCGACAGTCTGATAATCAATATGATGTTTTGTACACATTATTATATTGTTACGTATCATTTTTCAAATAAGAACGCACCGTATGTGTACGCATCGTTATCAGCCACGGAGGAATAACACAAAATGAGTAATTTATTGTTCTATAATTGGTCACCATCGGTTGTCTACAACGGTCAATTATCAATGACGCCGTGCATACAGGGAATTGAATAATTAAAAAAAATATTAAATAAAAACTAATGGGGAGGTTACAACACCCAAACTCCTCCGTGGCTACGCCACTGATCCCAACACAAATTTAGCCAACACAAATAAACTGGATGGTTCGAGAGCACGCCACGTATAATTGTCCTTGTGAAAAACATGATGTGCTTAAATCTAAGCCACAGACCAAGGATAAGAACCGTAACCGAAAATAACTGGTACTGGAACCGATTAATCTTTAAAATTTAGGAACCCTAACTGAAACCGGAACCTTTATTTTCAAAAATGAAAAATCGTAACCGTAACTTTAATTATAAAAGAGTTCATTTAGGTCAGTTATTTCGACTAGTAAAACTACGGTAATGACTATTTTGTTTGTCCATTTGTCGGTTCAGAAAAATAAAAGTCAAATCTTTTTTATTATTTTGTGTTGTAAACTGTAATAGTTTAATGCATATAATAACTAAAGTTCTTGTTAGTTTTGGCACCTGTTGCGGAATATTGTTGTTTAATATTTATGCAATACCCGTCATTTAATATCAAAAATAAAATTAATAGTTTTTTAATAGGTAATATTATTTAATAAGTAATTTTCAATTGCGCAGTTATCGACCGGGTCAAAAATTATTAAATTAAACTACGATTTATTAAACAATAGCACTTAGGAGTATAAAAAATAGATAAAACATAGACCTACCAAATGTACATAAAAATTTCGTTAAAATCGGTTAAGCCGTTTTGGAAGAGTTAAAACAAGAAGAGACAAACACTGTGACATGAGATTTTTATATATATTTTATGTTTTTTTTATTAACTGATTAAAAATTGTAGTTACATAATATGGTTTTCTGAAATATAATAAGTATACAAGAACAAAAATAAT